ATATATATATATAAAGAGAGAGGGCTTTTTGATACACAACTCTCTCAAGAAGCAGCTCTTACTCAGCTGGTTGCAGTCCATTCTGCTTTTGGACAGAGACCGAGAATAAAAAAATTAGCTTGAAAAAAACCATGCTAGGATAATTGCGAGCAACTGGACAAAAGGAGTTTATAATTTGCAATTAATTTAATGAGTTCTGAACAGAGCTGAATTGTAACTGTGTCGTAACTCACAGAGCAAAAGAAGCAAATGTTTACCTGTTTTCATACAAAGGTCATCTGTGGTTTCTGCATGCCAATAAAAATGCAAGGCTGTTACATCCAGAGCCATGTAAGTGACTTGACTAATGAAATTGTTACAGACGTACTGGAAAATCTTAGCCAAAACGCATTGATGGATAATGCCTCTCTCTTCTCCCTGTCCCTCCACACCTGTACCACTTTTCCTGAAATTCTGGAGTTGCTATGTGAAAGTGAATTCTGATGTGAGTTAATGTAAGAAATACACTTGATCCGTGACTAACGCGCTTCCCGGAGGTGCTCTCTCCCCTCTGGGCACAGCACCAAGGATGACAGACATTGTATATTAAAATGGTCCCAGGAACAGATCCAGCATGAATCTGGATGTGTGGAGGTTAATCTGCTGCAGATGTGAGTGGTTTAGGGTCATGAGCATGGACACTTAAGAAAAAAATTTAATATAACTTAAAACAAAAAGCAGGGAAAGACACACATTTCCATTCCGACATGATGTTTTGAAAATGTTGATGTTTAGAGAGGGGAAGCGGGTATAGGAATGCGGGGCTGAACGTGGAGGGGGAGCTGCAGCAGCAGAACCTTCCTGCTACGTGTCTCAGGCCACACTTGGCACTGGGTAATGCTGACCTGGATGGGGGAATCTCACAGGTGTATATGCCCCAGCCAAGAGCAATGAATGGATTTACCCTCTTCTGTCTCTTTAATCAGTCTTTTCAGTTTGTTTCTCTTCCACTGGTTTCAGTCTGCAGTCCTCCAGTTGTGTACATGCTACTCCAGCGTGATTAGCAAAGCTCATTCTGTGTTGTGGTACAGCTGAGGGCAATTTCCTGACCTTGGCTGGTGTCACAGAGATGTCTTGGCTTCCATCAGAAAAATGGTTCATTAATTGCTGGCCTAGCTTGTTACTGCTCATCAAAACTCCTGTCATGTTGCTTCACTAATGTACAACAGTTTTATCCTGTGTATCCCATTTCTTGGCCAAGGAAGTTATATATATAACTTTTTCCCCTGACAAACCTTTGTGTGCTCCCCTGAGCAACACAACACTCATAGAAACGCCATTATAGCAACGTTATGGCACTTGAACAAGTTACGAATAAGGCAGCTGGCTGTGGAAATGTATATTTCAGCATACTCATCTCTGCTGACAGGTCTAGTTTTGACTTTACAAAATCATTAGTCCAGAATCATATATCCTAAGAAGCATAGCATAGGTTAGGGCCCAGCTTCTCTGTGGAACCTGTTGTGTGAACTTTACCTTGCCAGAACTGTCATTAACATATACTTAATGAAGGGGAAAGATAATGGAATATTGGTATAAATCAACTGGCCATTTCTACACTCCTGTTGCCACATACCCCTTTCTGTGCACACTTCATACATGGTCAATATTTATAGCAGGAGTGGTCCTGAATAAGCAGAGCTGCTTAGGCTGGCTGGCTGATTTATGAAACCTGTTTCTCACCAGGCAAATAAAATCCTATGGATCTGGGAACAGCTATCTGGTGTTTAAGAGTGTCAATAATTACTGCTTGGGTTTCACCCATAATTATACTCTAGCATTTTGGTGAAGCAACCTCACTTTTTCTTGATAAACTGGGCTAAATTCATAGGTTCTCCCTTGCTTAAAAAGAGCAATGAGAAAGACCTAAGTAAGATACCACGCTGTGGGAACCCAGGTTGCCAACTACCTGTTAGAAAGGACACACATCATGATGTCCCTTCCTGACAGGATAGGACACATCAGCCTCCTCCAAACACTGCCATCCCAAAGTCTGCCTTTGGTCTTAGTGAAAATTTAGTTAAAAGTCACATATGATAATTTTGTATATGTATAAAAATGAATGTAGATACATATGCTTGTTTGTAGGCATAAAGGATACTACTGTATACTGATAGATGGACGTTTTATGTAGGCCATTTCTTTTTAATAAAGAAAATCACAATTTCTGTCTGAAATACTTGTGGTGTATTCAGTATGCCACCTCTGGGCTGCTGTGTGCTAACAATTTGCAGGTGTTTTCCTTAGTTCAAATAGTGATTTCCAGCATTACTGTAGCTAGCATTTAGGCTCCAGACTTGGTTTGTTGCGGAACAGGAACCTTGTCCACATTTGTTGTCATCACTGAACCATAAGGCCAATGCCATGGTAAACATGGTCTTAGCGCCAGGCAATGCTACCCAGCACAGAACAAGACAATGCCGCAATGACACAACCGTGTCATTTAAAATGCATTAGTCCTTTCAGTTCTGTCAAGACCACTTGTCAAAGTACTGTAATTCTAACATATATTTTCCTGTTTTGTAAATAGGGATCTCAGACAGTCTTCCCCTATTTTGAATTTTGGGGCATATTTTCCCCCTACTGGGATGGAAGCAAATTTATACTTAAATTCCAGTTTTCTACATCATCTTCTCTTTGAATTGTAAAAGACGTTCTAGCAAAGGAGACAGGGAAGTGGATCCTGCTGTCTCCACTCATTCTGTCAGCTAAAATGGCAGCCACTGTGAAATGCCATTGGCCCTCAGGCTAGTTTCTGATATGTACCACAAGTTTTTAAAGTAGGAGTGTTGCAAATGAAAGACCTGATTCATTATTCTGTCGACGTTTCTTTCCAGCCCATGTCTTTCCAGCCAGTTCACTCTTACCCTCTTGCAATTAACAAAGTAGGTATGGGACTGACAATCTGTTTGGTGTGACACTTCAAGAGTGTTGCCCATCACATAAAGAGAATGCATTTTAACACAACTGAATCTTCAAAAGATTAAGAACTTTTAGGAAAAAACCTCTAGCTCAAACAGATGACAGTACCTCTGAGTAATGTGGTGAGAGATATTTCCCGTTGTGTTTTGCAATGTTGTGCATGATTTTTAATGCCTTCTCTCCCTTTTTGCGTGTCAGGAGCCAACGTGGAGATTCAGGAACCACCCTGTAAGAACACAGAAGTCATTTAATAGAGGTTTTGCCCTTTAACATAATAAGTAAATCAAAACCATTTGCCTTTTGCCTGTGTTAATACACAATACACTGGTTTTTCAGTCTTTGGGATACAGAAACTCTTTTGTGGACTGCTTTTCCAGTCAGTCTCCTGTAAAATATTTGGTCCTTGTGGGCAAGAAAGAAGAAAATAGACTATATCGATACTCTCCAAAGCTGAAAAATAAGAAATCTTAACTATTGTATTTGCACAATGGATGTCAAAAGTGTGATAACCAATACGCAAACAAGGTACCTGTAGAAAAGCAAGGAACAATGAAAGTCAACACTAAACACATGTAGTACCAAGTATAGGCAGACCAGGAGACTTCTAGCTGTATCATTATAGGATAGACACACACACACACTCTCAAATATATACATATTTTATCTACTGATCACAAAGCAATACTACTGATTGGTGTTTCAGTTTCTGCTAGCCTAGGGTTAAGATAATTCACAATTTAAAAGTTCACAACAGGCAATGTTTAAGGAAACAATGTACAGGAGGAGGGTATGTGGATTAGTTTCTTTGGATCCAGCCCACAGGACGGTTGTGCTCCACTGGGACAGATGTTCACCACAGCATAGTGCTCTGCTTCCTCATTAGCTCTACTGCCCAACTCATGGGACCTGTAGACCACGTTCAGGCTTGAACTGAGTACCTAATTAGAGGTAAAGGTGGGGTCCCATGGCTGACAAGAAAAGCAGCCTTTGGTCAAGTTAACCAGATATACAGCCAGCCCCAGGCTAGGCAGTAGCAGAGCAGCGTTCTGTGAAGGTCCATCTGTGGCAGACGAGAGAAGCAAATCCTGGACACAAGAAGGAAAGTAATGTATGTCTGTGATTCACTAAAAAGAATTACAAATGCCAAAATCAACAATATGCAAATATTTCCTTCCTAACCTACAACATCTTGCACACTGGAGACTTGGGACCACAGCCTGGGTCTCAAGGTGCTTGAATAGCAATGGCAGTAATGACAAGAGCAATGACTGCAACTTTACCAGTAGTAGAGCAGGAAGAGGAAGTTGGGCAGTGAAATGGCCAGCTGGATTCCCTGCCAGGTGGGAATCAAGTACGCAATTCCAGGGAGAATCATAATTCCCAGGGTGAAGAATATCTGAATCACAATCCCAACGATCCGCTGGTCAGAACCAACAATCTCTGTCACTAAGCAGAGAGAAAGCCAACATAAACAACACAGGAACAAACCTAACTTGAAAGAAAAACATTAGTGGTGGAACATAAGGAAGGATAGTACTGTATCAGGTCACAAGTCTGTCTAGCCCAGCATCTTGCCTTCAGCAGCGTAAGCATGTCACCAAGGCCATCCAGGGCAAGCATGGGTGACACCTCCTCATCAATTCACCCACCATTCTTCAGCTAGACGGGTTTCTGACTGCATGTTTACTAATGAATTAAATAGGGTCAGGGGAGGAGTTTGAGAGTGCATCATGATCATGCATAGTGGTAAAATGATAGCACTCTTCCTGGCACAGTTTTGGCCGATGCCCCAGACCAGAGAATCCTCCAGGCAGGGGCTGCTCCCAGCAGGTAATATGGACAAGGCGTTTCTGGGGAAGACAGTTTAGCCATACCATGCTGGTTGCTCTGAGGGCTAAGGTATGGTATGGTCCACAGCTTGTTTTATTTATTAGAAAAAACATAGCCTTTGTTGGATTTTTTAAAAATATTTTTGTAGATTTTTTTATTCTGTGAATGTGTCTAATCACTTCTGAAACCTATGTAAGCCCATATTTCAGGCCATGAGATCCATAGTTGAGATGAGCAATGCATAAAGAAGTGTCTCTTGTTTGTTTCAAAACTGTCACCACTATTTAGCCTTCAGAATAAAAGCAGAGGGTTTTACCTTGGTTTATAATACACAGAAAACACCTTTTTTTTAATTTTACTAAAGAAGGCACAATTTTACAGATAACAATGATTTGTTTCAGCTGTCAATGCAGGCAGATATGACACCATTACTATCTTTATTGACTGTTCAACACGGCTGCACAGCTCAGGGGCAACTCTACTGCCTAAAGGCAGCTGCTCAGCATTGCCCCAGGAAGAGCTGGGTTGTATGTAAAAGCAAAGCGAGATTCTAGGGTCAGCCTGTTGTGATTCTGAAGCCCAGATCAGTAGCTTAAGAGATGTATTAATGGCAACCATCTTCCTGGTCATCTGTATATGCCTTTTAAAAGATATTAGGTTGGTAAACGCTCTGGGTGATCCCGGGACATAAGAGTAGATCCCTGACGGGATTTAGATGGAATCACTCTCTCCAAGAATTAAGCACCTTGCTTAGGGCTGTGGTAATACACTGTCCCTCAGGATGCCGTACCTCCGAACCTTTCCCTAAAGTCAGGCAGTCTGCTCTGAGCATTGCAAAATGTTCCTTTCTGTTAAAACTTGGCCATTTTAAGGAAGCCATGAGTCTGTCATAAAACATTTTGCTGCTTAGAGCACTTGCCAAAGTTTTAGATTAAGATCTCAGTTTAAAATTAGGCCATGTGTTTGGGAGTGAGGGGAAAAGCGGCTTTAACTTTGCCCAGAAAACTTAAGTGCTTCTGGGCTTTATTTAGATGCTGAGAGGTCTAGACAGGGGGTTGGAACCATGCTTGCACCTACATCACCACGATTGTTCCCAGGTCTCACTGTAACTGTTTATGTCTGGTTGCAAAAAAGTCACGGGCCTCACAGACTACAGTGATGTTACAAATTTTTGCACTACATAATGTTATCACTGTGCTTTGGGTTATCTTAGTTGATGCTATTTATAAAAAAGCTTCCCTCCCTTTTCCCTTTCCAGGTCCATATGGACCCTGGTGCCCAGCCTGACACTAAGCAAAGCCTTCCAGCTAAAGAATGAAGAGCAGCCATCCAAGTGTGTGTCCTCCCAGTGAGGAAAAGCAGTTAACTCTTCTGAGCATCTGTGGAAGATGTTCAGTCTCCTCCAAAATTAACCATGTCCCTGTTTGGGTATCCTGTTTGATTTGAGTCTTGCTCTGCAGATTTTGATCCACTTGGTGATCTTCTATGTAATAAGAAAATCTTTATCTATACACATTCTACTCCTCCACCTCTTAATTATTTATGTTAATTCCTCCCCATCAGAGTCCATAGACTAAACAGCCATAAAAGTCTTCAGCTAACATCCACAGAGTGTATTGCATTGCCACTGAATTGCCTATGGCCAGCTGCACACAGGCATATTCAGAAACCACAGTGATGGGTACAGAAGGAGAGCCTGGACAGTTCTGAAGGACACATCACTCTTGTTGGTCTGTCATAGCGCATTACTTCTTCCTTGCTCTTCTCCATGGCATCCTGTCAGGTCAGGCAGGCTTGTACACTGCTACTCATTTCCATCTCATATCGGTACTGAGCAACAGAAAGAGTTTGCACTTACTGCCATTCTGAGAGGCCACCTCTCTACCAGCAAATTAGCGGATGCTGCCAGGCAAGGAAACACTAGACTGCTTAGCTGCTAGAAAGGTCCCCAGCATGGTCTGGACACAGGCCAATGACTGCTTCCACAAAAATTCAGTTCAGGCACAAGCTCAGACCAAGTTACAATTTGCATGCAGCCACCTTATCTTGGAGGACAAATGCATTAACTAGGATGGACTTGGGTTACTCGTTGTCTGCTGACCCCAGGGACAGTGCTTTGCTCCCAGGAAAAATTATGATCAAGAGCAGATGTAGCTGGATTCCTCATCCTCCAAAAATCCCTCACTTTTCCTAACCAGAAAAGAAAGAAAATAACAGTTCTCACCGATCACGTAGCATGTCATCCAGGTTCCCTTGCCAAACACACCTTGGAGAAAACGGAAGATCACAAATACAGTAAAGTTTGGTGCAAATGCCACTATGATACCACACATCCCAACCCCAAGACAGGAGAGCAGGTAGATGAGGATTCTGCCGTATCTGTTGAAAAAAGGAAAAGAAAGTGAAAGTCATGAAAAGTCACAAAGATGGGGGTTTTTATCCTGGCACATCATTTTAATGCTAGATCTCAAAGTGCCTTTTTGAGACTGGCCTTGTTCCAAAGGGAGACTGCCTGAAGCTTTGTAGTGTTTGGGATATGGGACTCTTTTTTCCCTGCAGTAGTTATTACTGTCTTTATATGTCACTAGTTTTAAAACTGGTGATGTCCTCACCAGTCCCGCTTTTATTTTAGAAAACTGTTTATCTTTCATAGCTAAACTATGACCCCATTCAGATTTTTGATCCAGTTGAAATAAGGGCAATGTTTGTTGGGGATTTCTGTTTTCACAAATTAGTCTCCTAATAGTAATTAGAGCCAGTTCTGCAAAAGTAAGTAATTTCTTCTTTAATTACTTTATGTGATTTTCCCTTTTTTATCCCTTTTTACTATATTCCTTGGAAACATCAGATTTTCCTTAAAAGTATTTTTGTTTGCTAGTTCAAAATTGTTGTCTGAGATGACATTCCAGATAATTCTGTAAGCATTCCTGAACAAGAAAAATCATACATTATTATTACTATTACTACAGACACCAAAGAAAAATAAAACTGGCAGAAATAATGTCTTTTCTGACCTGAAGAAATATTTCTGCCAATGAAATTGTCAGTGGTGCTCTCAGCCAACACATAGGTTGACTACCATTAATTATCAGCACAAACCAGGCTCCTCTTTTAAGAGCAAGGTAGAGCTTATGGGAACTCCCCGCTCCGGGGCAGGTCGGCTGCTCAAGCTTGAATATCACCCACATGTTTTCCTTGGTATTCATCCAGCTCTAACACAGTTGAGGACCAGCTGGAGGGAGCTACGACCTCAGTGGTAAGTGTACGAGTCCAGCCTGTGGAGAGAGTTACCATACTGAGTCCCTTCTTTCCTCAAGTAGCTGCTTTCTTCATCAATGGCGCCTATTAAATATCCTCCAGTAAACACCAGTCCAGAAAACTCTTCTGAATGCTTCCTTTTCATTTCTGTGTCCTTCTGCCCTTCCTGGGTCCAGATGCGCACAGAAAACATCGGAAACCAAAAGGAAAGCTCTTTTCATGACATTTTAATGTCCAAACAGGACCAGTAAGTACGATTGCATGAAGTTTCCAACCCAAAAGGAAGCGAAGATTACATTGGCTGGGTTTTGTTAACCCAGGCTGGGGATGTTTATCCAAAGTGAATCAAACCTCCAAAGTGCTGATGCATGTGTATTGCAGGTGACACTACAAGTGATTTCACCTCCAAAACCATCCAAGGACAGCAGCCCTTATACAGTACCTGTCTGCAGCGTAGCCCAGGGTGAACGCACCGGTCAGAAACCCCAGATTGAGGATAGCCTGCGAGAGATCCAGCATCCAGACATTGCCGCACACAAGGTTATACTGAGGGAACAAGGGAGAGGCATAAACACTCCAGGTGGGTCCTTCACCATCCTCAGAGCAAAACGTTATAGAAGCTGCATAGGGCCAGGCAGGAAAGGGAAGGGAAAGTTCAAATGTGCTTGTTCAACAGCAAGGACCAGCGGGTGAGGGAAGCGCAGCCATAGCAAGCACTCTTGAAGCTGTCATGAAGATAGAGGGAGAGCTGTTCCTTGCCAAAAGGATGCTGTGTTTCATACATCAGTTGTCCAGATATGGAAAGCAAATTGCTCTTTTGCAAACCAAACACAACGCTGTTAAATATGTTGCCAAGGCAAAGCTACAGCTTTGTTTAGTGCAGAAGAAGCGTGTGCAGCTATAGCCAATGAAAACATCGGCTTATAGAAATGGTTTATTTCTTTTTCTTAGTGCCTTCTAGATAAAAGCAAAAACATGTGGTTTCTGAGGAAACTGAAAACAGATCTCAGATCAATTTCAGACACATGGAATATGTATTTTCTTGGTGTAGCTTTCCCAGACTTTTCTATTCCTTATATTGCAGTAGCCATAACTTCCTAACACGATGTTACACTGGTGCATATTTGAAGAATTCATTAACAGGGATGGGGATGGGTGGGGTGAAGGGAAGAGGGAATTGGTTAAGAGGAAGGAAGACAAAGAAACTAGGAATTAAAACTAAAATGAAATTGAAAATAAAGTAGTTATCCAGACAGCATATCATTGGAAATTACTTTAGAGGTTCTTTGAGAATAAAGAAATTCCAACTGCTGCCTGCAAAGTTCTGCAGGCCTTACGGGAGTCAGGAGGTTTTGGTCCATACCTGGGGTAACCTTAGGAACAACGCAGCTTCAGGATCAAGTAAGCCACAGACAATAGTAGCTGCCACCATTTACCCTAGAGAGACCCTTGTGCTCTCAGGCATGAGCCATAAGAAATCTTTTTATCGCTAACTGTTTGCTGAAGCTGGTTGCTGAAGCACACACAGCATGCCACGTTTCTGCTCACCAGCACGTCACGTTTGTGCTCACCAGCAAGCGTACCACAATACCAGCGCTCAAACACTGTGCTTGGATGGGGTGGCCACAGGGTGGGTTAGAGAGAGGATTAACAGCCTCTTCTGCCACTCACAATTCTCCAGACTCCGAAATGTAGTGCCGTGAGCCCAAGCTCTGTCTTAGCCCATTTACCTCCTGTGATGCCCAGCAAGTATTGCCAGTGCCTGGTGTTTCAGAGGTGCCTACACAGGAGATACAGAGGGCACCCAGACCTGGATTTCACTGACCCTGAATCTGGACCCAAAAATCTAAAGTAATACTCTTAAATGTTTATTTATGTACCTAAATAAGAAACCTTTCGTTTAATATTCTGAACTCCACACAGGTGTCATTGACACTCATTTCTACGGGCTATTCTTCACTTTTAAAAATGAAACTCCTCAGTTTTGATTTCAAATATACTATTGGCACTGTCACTGACAGTAACTACAGCAGAATCATTGTTATTAGTTATGATGATTTTACTGGAAGTCCAGGATGTAGGTTTGTTTGTGGCCTTTTGTTTTTCTTGAAGCCACAGGCCTGGGAATGTTGTGACTCAGAACTGCAGTTCCATCTCTCACAACTGTGAAGAAAAACTTAGCTGATAACCTCATAGGTCCCCAACGCAGTAGATATGCCACCCCCACTGGCTTCTTTAAACAAAGTCACAGTTTTGATGTCTCCCCCATTTCTCCAAGGAGCCTGCCTGGCCACTTCTCAGCCATGCCAGGTCATCAGTATCTGGCTTCCATGTCTGTAAGTCTTGAGCAGGAGCTGCAGCTTCCTCGGAGAGGAATAAAACCTCCTCCATTCCCCAGAGGCACAGAGAGGAGCCCTCACACCTCTCTCCTAGCAGTCCCCACGAATAAGGGAGATCCGAGCCCATGCTCTGCAGAATGAGTTGTCTCCCAGTGAAGGTTAAGATGGCTCAGTGCCTCACAAGCATCTTAGCTCCTTGAAAGGTCAAAACCTTGGAGGCAAATACCAGGCTGATAGATCATCAGGGAGGGTTTCACAGAGGACCAGGTTTAAGAGCCCTTCACAGGCACAGTCAGAGAGCACAACATCCTCTGACACTTGTGATTGCTTGTGACAAAGATGGCCGTGAGAGATGATTCCTCCTCCTAAGCCGAAACAGCCAAGGAGAGAATGAGGAAGGGAGTAAGAGCGTTATTACCTCTCCAGAAACAGCAACAAATTAGTGCGAGAACAAAATTGAAAAGTGCATGCAGTAACAAAACTGTTAAAGCAATGTCAAAATAAGATGATGCTTAGACATAAAATCCTTAAATAAAACCATTGTAGATCGCTTAAAACCAGCTCGCTCCTAATTTAAGCCCACGTTCAGAGACGAGGCCCCAGATTTCTAACACCTATAAACTGCATCGGGATGACAGCCCTCCCCGAGCCGGGGCCCCAGGTTTCCCAAGACGCGGGAGGCCGTCCCGGCAGCCCAAGCGACGGCA